TCATTCTCAATCTTTTCAGTGATAAATGTTCTGTTGCTGTTGGTTATAGTTGCTGAATTTAGTGATTCTCAAACACATAGTAAGTTTTTAAATATTCATGGTGTTGTATTTCTAAGTGTGTGTGTATGTTATAGATTTAATATATCTCATAAAAGTGTTGATGCTTGATGTGTATACATTTGTGTTCATCAGAAAAAATAAAGACAACAATACACATGAAGTAGCACATATGCAATAACCTTAAGTTTGAAACTATTTTGTTCTGTATTTCTTGAGTCTTTATTTGATTTTGAGTGATTTGAGTGATGAAAAGATAAATGGAGATGTTAGAACATGTGCTTCAACCTGGGAAACATCGATTGGACCTTGCAATATTATTAATGTATATCCATCAAATGACACTGGAGAATACTGGTGTGAAATGGGAGGAATACAAAAAAGCAACTCTGTCAACATCACTGTAGCTGGTATGTCCATGGGAAAAAAAAACTTAATTATGCATTGACATATTTAGTCCATCAACAGTTTTTTATGTTCAGTTCATCACTGACAGTAATGCACAGTGTCATTTTTTAAGCATCCATGTATGTACAATTTCAAGAGAACTTAAAGGAAATCACTTTTTGACACAAAATTGTTATCTGCCATTTAGATTTAGAGAGCGATGTGATCCTGGAGATTCCTGTCCAACCTGTGATGCAGGGAGAAAATGTGACCTTGCATTGTAGAAAAAAGGATGCAAACTCCAGGTACACTGCAAAATTCTATAAAAATGGCGTCTCCATTGGGAGCAGCTCATCAGGAAACATAATGACTCCCACTGTATCCAAATCTGATGAAGGACTTTACAAATGTAGCATTGCTGATGCTGGAGAATCACCAGAGAGCTGGCTTAGTGTTGAAGGTAAGATGCATCAATATTCTTTAAATAAATTAGAGACAAACTTTATACCCAAACTGTATTTTAGACCTTCATGACAAATGGTGTAAATGAAAAAACAATATGTGGTCTATGATGAACATACCTAAATGGTAAATGGCCTGCATTTGTATAGCGCTTTACTCAGTCCCTAAGGACCCCAAAGCGCTTCACACTACATTCAGTCATTCACCCATTCACACACTGGCAATGGCAAGCTACATTATAGCCACAGCTGCCCTGGGGTGCATTGACATAGGCGAGGCTGCCGGACACTGGCACCACTGGGCCCTCTGACCACCACCAGTAGGCAAACGTGGGGTTAGTATCTTGCCCAAGGATATTTGGCAAGATCAAACCTGAGATCGAACCACCGACCTTCTGATTAGTGGCTGACCTGCTCTCCAGTACCACATATGTCATCAGGTTAAGGGCACTAATTATACAACAATAAAAGGGAATATATTGCTGCTGGTTCAGTCAGTATTGTTTGGAGAGAGATAAAACTAACAGCTTTAGAATCACCGCAAAAAGGGCGTAAACACAAAGCGCGGACCCGCCGAAACATCAGAATCAGCGTGCTGTCGGCTTTCAGCCCCGACCGTGTCCGTGCCGATGGGTGAGAAAGGCAACATCTCACTG